CCATTGAGAATAAATATGAAATTACAGGATTATTAACATTATTTTACTTCAAACTATAAAATTTATGCTTGCAACGTAAAAAAGTTAATTGTGTGTATTATTTTTCGGGGAAAGAGAGGGAGGATGGTCGGTGAGAGAGGGATGATTCAGCTAAAATTCAACATTTAAAAAGGAATTTCAAAAGGAATACTAATTAAAAATATTACGGTGCATCTGTTTACTAGAGAAATCATTTTATTTATTTACCCTTTTTGAATTTGAACTTTTTGTTGCGAATTATAAAAATAATTTTCGTTCATGTTTAAACATAACATCGTGTCGAAAGATACCAATTTCTTTCGACCAGATTGGTTTCCAATCGTTTGGAATAATCCAATGACTTGGATGTTTTGCGCCTAGTCTTCGAAACAAACAAACAAAAGCTTTATTATTATCCACACAAATATTATTACAGTAAGGCTCGAAATCAGTTTTGTACCAAATATAAGCTCCTGTCATGCTCAAATACCATGAATGGGGTACCGTTGGATTCAGAATTTCACGGGGGGTTAGCGAATCGTATTCTCCACTTTTGTTTTTCTTTCTAAAATAAATAAAGTCGATACAAACATTTTGCTAGGCTTCGATACTGGAACGGTGGCAGGACTGTAGATCGATGCGGGACAGATTGGACATTGAAGATTTTGATGCGTACAGCAAGACCCGGATAATTCTTCTGTAACTATTGGATCCAGCGTTTTAAGCCTAAAAACGTACTATTTTCGAGATAACGCAAGGCATAGGGTTCGCATCAACACAACCTTACGTTAATTGTAGTACTGTCATTGAATACATGTCTCATTTCGTCGACTTGAGGCCTCTATGATCAAGAGAGGGGAAGTTTATATTATTTGTCGATGGTGTTTTTGATCGGCAAGCCATATCATCGTTAATTCTTCACCAAATCCGAAGATTGAGCTATCAATTTCGAATTCTTCCTTCTCCTTCAGGCGGACATAATAGTCCAATCACCCCGAAAATTCAGGCAGACACGTTATGAAAGAAAACAAACTTTATTTGCGAATAACTGGTTGTGTATATGATTATATAATAAATTACTGAATGCCTTTAAAAAAGGAAAAAAAAAAATCATCGAAATCGATTTCAAATTTTTCCAATATTTTTTTTTCATTTTATTATTTATGTTTTCTAATTTTCGATTGATATTCATTAGGAGAGTTCTATTACAGCCCATTTAATACGAAAATAACTATATATTTGGCATACAGATACAGTATCAGTACGACGTTGAAACTTAATTCCCTGCAAAAATGAATAAAAAATCATCGAAATCGGACAATTTTTAGCAAAGATACAGCTTATTGAAATTTGTGAACATGTTGGTTCCAAACATTAATGAAGATTTAAATTAGTTTTTGTTTCCTTTTTCCATTATATTTATCGATAAAGGAACAGTTGATTTCTTTATCTTTTTATACTGTGCATTTTTTTATTTTCTTATTAATTTGGCATTTGAAAACTTTTCCGCACGGGCCTACTAGTTGAAAAATAAGTTTTTATTTATTTTTTTTTTCATGATAAAAAAATGGATCCAAAAATTTGTTAACTGTCCATTAATAATTAAAAGCTCAAAAATAAGTTGAAATGTTTTTTTCTTACTAAACTTTTAGTTTCATAAGAATTTAACATTCATTTTACTTATTTACTTGAATAATTTAGTTTTTGTAAACAAATTGTGTTTGCTGTTTTTTAAAATATAAATCCAAGCATCGTAAAGAAAAGCAGGTGGATACACTGCCCTGGCTGGATAAATAAATGCTGTCACAATTAATCAGCTGTTGGGTTTACAAACGGCCAGCCGAACTATTCGCTACCGGGTCCTTTCGCAGATTTAGGGTTTATTTTTATTTTTATATTTCCTCTTTGGGAACTGATCCTGTTCTGCGGAATTTATTTTACGACCAACTTCCTATTTCTTAAAGCGACCTACGTGTTATCTTCCTCGTCCATCTATATATTGTATATTATTCATACATAATATAGTTCGTCCGCGATTAGTCGGTAGCGTAGGGCACTAAATTAAACGAGAATATAGCTAACAATTTTTCTTTCCTAACCATTCCACATTATTTACAAAATATTTACTGAGATACTCATAAATTAAAATATAACAATATCAGTTTTTAATATAAGTATTTATTTGTGAATATTCCCTAAGAAATATTGAGGGTGTGATCGCATGGCTTCGAAAACAAAATAAAGTTATAGAGCTGGGCTATTATGTAAAATCTATTTGTGCATCAATACCCAGCCGGTCATTTCTTAATTAATGTCTAACTTCCCTCCAACGCTAAGTCAAATTGAACTAGCGGTTTCTGAGATATAGCCATATGGATGAAAATAATTTTGCTCAATAGAGGAAATAGAGGTTGAAATTCGATAAAATTGTTAAAATATTATTTTTGAAATATATGTATATTTGATAAAACTCATTACGCGGGATTATGCGGAAGTTTTATTTAAAATTTTATGTAGTTTATACGCCCCAATCTATTAGTCCGTGGTACAGACCCCTTTTTGTCGGATCATGAACATCCGCCTGGAATTTCGCAAATAGTTTCATCTTATCGTAACCTACAAATATTTTATTTACGAAAACTCTTGGAATCAGGGCGTTTACAATCTGGAAAGGGGCAAACTTTGTCCATTCAATTACGTACTAAAAACTCGTAAATATTCATTTGCTTTCTTCTTGAATCGTAAGATAATTTAAGCACAAAATCGGGAAAAAATGTGAAAAAATAATTAATTGACATTTTCGAAAAAAGATGGTCTTAAAAAATATTGAGCCGTTTGGCGTGACCTACACCCCTATATTGTAAAAAAAAAAAACATGTTATATAGGACAAACGGTCCAATATTTTCTAGGCCACCTTTTTTTATTGATTTTGTAATCAATTTATCTTAGGATCCAATTAGAAAGCAAATGGGTATTTACAAGTTTTTTTTACCTAATTAAATAGACAAAATTTGCCGACCTCCAGATTGAAAACGCCCCAATTCCAGTTTTCGTAAATCGTTACGATGAGGTGAAACAATTTGCGAAGTTTTAGGCGGATGTTAATAATTCAATAAAAAAGGGTCTGTACCACGGACTATATATACCAACTTGTCCAATTCTTGAAAATTTCATTAAAATTGGATTAAAAATAGATGTACTCTTACGTGAATTTTATTACAGACAGACAAGGAACCAATTTTTTTCTGAGATGTCCAAAACGTAAAACGCGAGAGAAAATGATCTGAACACAAAATTATTTTTAATTCCCGGACGAAAATAAAACTTTCCTACCTTTAATAGTGAGTAAGCAAAAAAAAAAATTGTTAAAGCAAAAGTAAAGAATTTTTATTTATTTCTAGAAAAAATGTATATATTTTTGTTGTTTATTTTGAAATCTAATAATCTGTCACGTGGGAAATAATTATAGTGATATATGAACTAATAATCAAAAACTATATGCAATAAAAATAAAATAACCTAAAGGTAAGTAAATTAAAAACACAGTCATACCTTTATACATATTGAAAATAAATAAATATATGTATAAATTATTAGTTGAAATGGCTTTAGAGATATATTTATTTTGTGTCGGTCGCTACAGTTTATATGTTGCTGCTACCATTTATGTGAGGTAGACTGGATGAAATAGATTCCAACACATTATAGAATGTTATGATATAGTTATATATTTTATCGCTACAAAATTTGTATATATCATTATTGCAATGTTTGTTGTCGCTACAATATATATTTATATCCTTTTTTTGAGGTTTTTTTTTTTCTTAGGCCCAAGACTCCCACTTAAGTCCTATACTGTCCCTATTCTTATATATAAGCATAATGGAGATATGGATGTACACTATTATTATTTATTTATTAATTTATTTTTAAAAATCTATTTTGGATTCTTTAATAAATTTGCACAATGCCTTAATGGTATCCCTGTCTAGATCATTCAGCCCTTGGAGGAAAGTGCTAGAGTGCTAGAGGAAAGTGTTTTGGATGATGCGGTATTTCTTAAGGTATTTATCATATCTGCTGCATTTTAGAATAATTTGCAATGGGGCCTCGATGTAGTTGCATGTCGAACATTTATAATTTTTTTCCAGCTTTAATTAATGTCAAGCCGCGATTTGTTCGACTATGATTAATTCCTTATCTTGTAAGTAAGACTTCTTCTATTTCTTTTTTCCTCAACTTAACACAAGTGTTAGAGAACCATGGGTGTGGAGAGACGTTAGGCTGGATAGTGAAATGCTCTTTACCTTTCGAACTTGACTACCATGCATATCTATCCTGCCATTTACTAATAAAATGTTTTTTCTCCCATCTACAAATTTCCTGTAAAGGCAGTTTCGCATTTCCGTCCAGAACCCCGTTTTGTTCTGATATCAGCTCGTTCATTCCCATAATATCCGGTTGTTAAAATATATGTGAGGTAGACAGGATGTGACTTGGTTCCAACTAACATTGTTGAACGTCATAATATATATGTATACATTTCGTCGTTGCAATTTATTTAATTGATTAAAAATAATTAAAATGATTAAGGTTATGTCGGCCACGTGATTGAGACTGTCCGAGAATAGTATAGGATCCAAAGTCTAATTCTCGTCTCCAAATTGTGGTCCCTAAACCGATATTTCATTTTCAGATACTATTTTATTTTATTGAATAAGTATGGTTTTTTATCCCGCTTATCCAATTATTATATCCTTGGCAAGTTCTTTGTAAATCTTAACAAGCCCGTAAAATATGGCACTCTAGGAATAATACTAAAATCGATTGTTTTGTCGATCTCGTCTGCATTTTTATAATTGTGTTCAGTAAGGTACATTATTAATGTTAGAACGCTTTTCCCCAAACTTCTACTAATAAGAATTTGATGGAGAAGGATCTGTGGCGCATGCATATATTATTCCTGTGTGGTCGCTGCAGTATGTACTATTTATCGGCATTCAGTTACCGAGCTGATAGGCCGTTAGCACCCCAGGGCGGTCATAGGCCACCTGCCGAAGTTAGAGCAGCGGAGGAAATTCAATCTACGGGACCCGACGGGCAAGTTTGCTCAGAGCACAACCCGCTAAAAGCCCCCTCCTTCCAGAGCAAACAGTCCATCGCATCCTTCCTTTTCTCTTTCACCAACCGATTTCTCAGATTTTTCATTTAATGCTTTTTCTTCTTTATAATACTTAATACTCATAGTCATATAAACTACAATTATTAATAGATAGATAGAAAATTGAAAAACAGTTAAATAAATGTGTTTAAAAATGTCCCTCTTGTATATAATTTCCACAGTATATCAATTCATTCATGTATATAAAAATACTTTTTAATTTGAAATTTCGAAAATTTATTTGTAGAGGTGAACTCTTGGTTGATGAAATAATATCCTTTATATATATATATTACGTATGAGAATAACTTGTTCGAGATTTTTTCTTATTAACTAAGTTGCATTAATTTCCTTTTTACTATATTTTCCAATTGTTTTTCAGCACCCTATGATACCTAACTATAGTAATATGTAAAGCTCTGAAATTCGTTTATTCGCACTCGCTTATCTGAGTAACTGCTTGCTATATTTGAAAAACTATTTTTACATTGGATAGATTATTATGCTTAAAGCTACGACCAGATTGGGGTTTCCTTCCAAAATTAGTGGGTTTTTTTGTTTATTTTTTATCATTTGATTTTTTTAAGGTCTAATTTCTAATAAGGTCTAACTAATTTCAAATTATTGGATTAAATTAATACAAAATGTTTCGTAAACACGTAAATTTTGCTGTTTATTCTCATCTTATTCTAGACGGGATAATTATATTCTCAATAATAGAAAAATAAGAGTTGTAAAATTTAAAGTGGGAATATTTAAATACATTTTGGGGAATAAAGGGAAGCGGGGTAGTTCAATGGGTAAGCTCTGAATTTCAAAGCTCAAGGTCCCCGATTCGAGACTGCCTGATGATAAGTAATTTCCCATCAGCCGTGGATCAACAGCGCTCCTTAGGAATGTAGACATCGATTGGTGGCATTGAACCTTGAGGTTGGTTTAGGCTTACTATTATTATCTATTATTATAACAAAATATGGCGTCAAAGATAAAATATTTTAAATATTCGAGAGAACCCAACCACAATACAACCTCGCTGGTTTCCGCAATGGTGTGCCCTACCCCAAGAAGACCCAGATGTGAGATGTTTAAATCAGAAGATGAGAAGAGCTAAGCGTTGCTTATCTCGGATGCTTTCCTCCTCCCCCAAGACCCAAGATAAGCCAACCCTAACTCCGGCTTATGCCCAATTCTAAAGGCAATATCCCGGCCTTCAGTTTCTCTTCCCCTGATCCTATCGATAGTCTCCTATCTCTCGGCGGATTTAGGTTGTGTACCTTCTTGTAGCAGGTATCTTGGCGGATAAAGTTTCCCCCCTTTGTTTGCTTTTTATGTTGGAATTGAAATTCGTTAAGCCGAGCCGTTGGAGGGGGGGGAGTTGAGCGGTATCTGGATAGGGATCGGGCGGTGGAGGGTGTCGGGTATCTCTCTACCATCTTCGCGGCTGTAATAAGATCCACAACACCGCCGTTATTAAAAGATAAAATAAAATAAAAAATTCTCGATGCTTGCTTCCGCGTTATATCAACTGATCTATCTAAAATATTAACTAGAACATTAAGAGTTAACGAGCAGGTATCTTTATAAATTGTTTCTCAAAGGTTGTTTTTTGTCGGTATGCCATATCTTCGTCAATTCTTCATAGAATCAAATGATTGAGCCCTTATTTCGAAGGCTTCCTTCTTCTTCAGGCGGGCAAAATAGTCCAATCACTCCGAAAATTAAGGCAAACAAGTTATGAAAGAAAAAAAAAATATTATTTGCAAATAACTAAAAAGTTACACAATTTTCCCCTGGTTATGCACAATATTATATAGTATAACAAAGTCGGGTCGAAACGTTGGTTTTTAATAAAATAATTTTGCCACTATTTAGCCTATTTATGACCATCTCTTTACTTTGTTAATAGTTCTTCGTTATGTCGAGTTGAGGCGAAATCTATTTCTATGAGGGCTCTCCACAAAAGCAGATAAACAAATAAAGTAAATGCTGAGCGCTCGACAATATGTGGATGACAATTCTGTTATTATCTTTTGACTTGTCTATTTTCCTTTGATGATTGATTGAATTATATTGATAAGATCGATTCGTCATCAATCGGTATCATCATTTCTTACTCACAATCCGATTATTCTCTCTTCCGTTGAAGATTTTTAAATGCTTTGAGGAATAAAAATATAATAAATAAATTAGGCATTCAGTAAAAATTACTTACTCGAAATTTCGCACTTTTACAAAAATAAAAAATAAATAGAATATATGTATATAATAAACACTTGTAAATATTTTGTAATTGATATAATAAATTTGTCATATTATATATTTGATTTTATTTCTCTTTGTAATAGTTTTATAAAACCGTCTATATTCTTAAATTAACAATGCTAGTTTTTCCTTTATTGTCTCACAGGTTGTCACCAAATTCCCTCGAAAGTTTTATTTTTAGGTTCTGAACTTCGATTGTGTTGCAAATTTTGTTGTTCCTTAATAACGAAACTTTCTTAAGTTTAAGCCAGGGCATCTCCGAACTGTACCTGTGAAAGGAAAAGCCAGTACACAGGAGATTATCTTTTCTCACATCCGCAATACTGGCATTAAAAGCCCGTGGAAGTAGATTAAGGACATAATAGTTCAACATTTTCTTCTTGACTTAATTATATAGTTTTACTATCTATAATTTTTAAGTCCTGGTTCAGGATTTTGCAGTAGTATCATTGTCGATATTTTACTTCAAACATCGATATCAAAACAGGATTCGATATTATCGGAAGATAAATGACGGATTTCTATATTTTCTTTTTTCGATCATATCGTCGGCACCAAAGTTAACCTTCACAACGTTTCAAATTCGTTACTTTAACATGATGCTGACGGTATCATGAACATGTATGAATTTAATTTTTAAAAAACACAAAATGGACGTATTAACGTAGGTTTATGTATACCTACTAATATTTTTTTTTTTAAATTATTCAAATACAATCCCTTTTTTTCCGTACCTAGTTCTGCCATAAATCTGTTACAAAAATTGAACTTTGTTTACATCCTTGGGTGTTATTTAAATAATCCTTACCTCTATAAGGTTTATTTCCTTTACATATCAGGATAATAATCCCAATTAGTTTGTATTTTTATGTCACTCAGTTAACATGAAGTGGGATGATAAAGAAAACCGCATAGCTGCGATCGCCTCACATAAAGTTAGAAAATGGACCGCACTAAAAATAGATATAATGAGACTCTAACTGCATGTGACAAACCTCGACCGGGCCGTCCCCGCACTGTGAGAACTGCAAAACCAGTGAGAGTTTTGGCTGCTCGAATCAGAAGAAATCTAATTCGAAAATAACAACTCATGTCTCGGGAAATGGGAATCTTTGTCAAATCAATGTCTTGCATAATAAAAAGTGACCTTAGGATGCGTGCATTTCGAAGAATAACAGGAAAAAAGCTAACCACTTCCCTTAAAAAATTAGAATGGATAGATGAAAAGTGCTCCTTGACCGTTACACCAATGGTCTTCATCGAAAGATTTTGTTTAGCGATGAAAAAAATTTTACAATTGAAGAAAAATTTAATCGACAAAATCGGAAGGCATCGGAAGAGTGGAAAGAGATTATCACCCTTCCTCAGTGATGGTTTGGTGGAGAATTGGTGGGGCACCACAATGCTCCATTTTTTTGGAAAAAAAAGGAGTTGAAACAGCCGCTAAAAACTATCAGGATGATATTTTGGAACCTGTTGTCAAGCTTCTAAATGATACTCTGTTTGCTGGAAGTTATAAGCAGGACACCGTTTCAGCTCACAAGACCAGGTCAACTCAGCAGTGGCTGCAAAAGAACATAAGAGTTTTTCTCTGCCTCGAATGGGTCCTCTGGAAGGCCTGACCTCAACCCACTAGATTATCGGCTTTGGTCCGAACTGAAGAGGATGGCATGCCACAGAGCACATCCTGCGTGCTGCTATTGATGAATGGCCACGGAGATTAAATGCCTGTGTCAAGGCAAAAGGGGGACATTTTGAGTAATTTCTTTTTTGTTTTACTCTCTATAGATATACATTTTTTTTTCTAATGAAGTTTTAAAAAAAAAATAATTTCGTAACAATATGACAGGACTAGGTATATTATAAAATGGAGTTTCTATGCTTTCAAAGTAAACATCTCATATCGTCGGATTATTTCAAAGAGTCACGAAGTACATTTTTGATGGAGCTGAACTTACTGTTTTTTTTTGTTGTTAATTTTGCTCTAATTTATCGATTAAAAAATACAGCCTATGCACTAAAATGCCACAAACCCTTTTATATATTCAATTTATATCAAATATACCATTGAATATTTAATATTTGACCGTTTCATTATAAAGAAAGGGGATAGTCCGGGGTGGCGGTCATAAATAGGCTAAATAGTGGCAAAACTATTTTATTAAAATCCAACGTTTTGACCCGACTTTGCAGGTTTTCTTCAGGGCTAGAACAGACAAGATACAAAAAGTTAGAGAATTGTGGAAGTTACATAAAAACTACATAAGACTTACTTAAGACAAAAAATTATAAACAATGTGAATAAGCTTTTTAAAATTATAAACAGTAAGTGCATTAAAATATAAACAGATTAAGCTAAGTAACAAGATCCTAAACTGAAGTAAATAAATGTTAACAATTGTTGTAGTGTAATATATAATATATGCAAATGTGAATATACTTATAGATCTACAGGAGAGATTGAAAGAAAAGGAAAGGGATATAATATGAAATAATAGACATAAAGGAATGTGGAGAAAGAAAAGAAAAAAGAAAAACGAAGAATTAAATAAATAAGTAAATACAATTAGAAGAATAAAATTAGAAACCTACAGGTGTGTTCAGCTAGGAGTTTCTCTTAGAACTGGAAAACCAGGGTAAGGTATTGGGGAATTTGCTGACTTGTAGAAGAAGAAAAACATAGAATTTTCAGTTTTACCACTATTTAGCCTATTTATGACCGCCACCCCGGATCATCTCCTTCCTTCAAAAATATATTATTATTTATAATAACTTTTCAGATTTCACAA